CGATCTCGGCTCACTGCAAGCTCCGCCTCCCAGGTTCACGCCATTCTCCTGCCTCAGCCTCCCGAGTAGCTGGGACTACAGGTGCCCGCCACCATGCCTGGCTAATTTTTTGTATTTTTAGTAGAGATGGGGTTTCACCGTGTTAGCCAGGATGGTCAAGTGCCTCTTAACCAATCTCCCAGCTTCCATTATTACCCCTTCTCCCTACTTGCCTCACTCGTCTATGTTTTGAAAGCATTAACACAGGGAATATTAAACACAAAATTCAGATTACATCCTTCCTATGCTGAACACATACTAGTATCTTTACACTTGGACTGGTTTTCTCGTCCACTCTGTTTTAGTCAAAATGACGTATCCACTCTTCAAATATACCAAGCTCACTCTTGTCTAAGGGCTTCTGCATCTCTACTCTTCCCTCTTTTCCCAGATATCTGTATAACTCATTCATGATTTAGGCCTCTGCTTAAATGTTATTTGCTTGGTTGGGCCTTCTCTAATCATCCTAGCTAAAAAACAAAAAACACACAAACCAAGATTACTCTCTATCCTGTCTCTATTTTTTATAGCACTTACCACTATATGACATTGTATTTGTTTACTAATAACGGAGAGTTTTTATTTGTAGTCACAAATATAAAACGTCTTGCAATATTGAAACAGAAAACAATAAAACTAAAGGGAAAAAGACATTTTAAAAGTTAATGGTTGAGCAAAATGCAGATTTAGAGAAAAGAAAAGAAACCTGTGGATTCTAAAGAGAATGTCTAGCCCGGAGGACATGATGTCAAGTAAAATAAGTCAGGTACAGAAAGATAAATACTGTATGTTTTCACTCATATATGGGAGCTAAAAAAGTTGAGCTCATAGGAGTGTGGTTATTAGAGGCTGGGAAAGGGAGGGGTAGGGGAGGATAGGCAAATGTTGGTTAAAAGACAAAAAATTACAGACAGGAGGAATAAATTATAGCATTCTATAGAACTGTTAACTAGTCAACAATAATTTACCGTATATTTTCAAATAGCTAGAAGATAGAAGTTTAAATGTTCCCAACACAAACAAATGACAAATGTTTAAGGTGATTCATATGCTCTTATCCTGATTTGATCATCACACACTGCATACATGAAAATATCACTCTGTATCCTATAAATATGTACAATTATTATGTATTAAAATTTTTTAAAAAGGGAAATTTCTGAACACTTAAAATTTAAGAGCTAAAGGCATTTAACGTTAGATCTATTTTCACTTAAAACATGTAGGTGCCCCTTTACTTTTTTTTAAGTATTACTATTACTACCAATATACAAACATATATATATCTTTCTTTCTTTCTTTTCTTTTTTATTAAGAGAGAGTCTTGCTGTGTCGCTGAAGTGCACGTGCACTGGTGTGAAGTGCACGTGCACTGGTGTGATCTCGGCTCACTGCAACCTCCACCTCCCAGGCTCAAGCAATTCTTGTGCCTCAGCCTCCCAAGTGCTGGGATTACAGGTGTGTGACACCACGCCCAGCTAATTTTTGTATTTTTAGTGCAGACAGGGTTTCGCCATATTGGCCTGGCTGGTCTTAAACTCCTAGCCTCAAGTGCTCTGCCTGCCTTAGCCTCCCAAAGTGCTGGGATTACAGGTGAAGTATTACTAGCAATATTCTTAAAAACTCAGAAGCTACAGTTAGATTTGTTACATGTTACAAAAATTGAATGACAAATTAAGAGAGAGTAAAAAAGAGAAAGAAAAGAGTGTGGTGAATGAACAGGGGAAAATCAGGTAGAACAAGAAATAGGAAAGGGGAAGAAAAAAATGGCAAACCATTTGGGAATGTTTACAAATCAGATTTTTAAAATCTGAACAATTATTGTCTATAAGTAGATATATATACCTATGTATAAATACATATATCATATATACACAAAAATGAAACAAACCAAATAATTGTAAGACACAATATAAGGAAATAGGATTTTTAAAAAAAACAATAACAGGAGGACAATCAGAGACCTTCAGAGAATATGAGATTGAAGTTAAGGCTGGAAATATGAAGATAGCCATGAGAAGGTCGGGGGAAAAGGCTGAGATGAAAAGGTACCGGGAGAAGGAAAAGAACTGGAACGACTAGAGGCAGAAGCTTAGCATTTTGAAGAACTGAAGAGAGACCAGTATGACTGAATCTCAAGAAGCAAAGAGAGAAGGTGATTAGTGCTGATGTAGGAGGTAGGCCTGTGCTAAATTATGATGGTCCTTGTAGGTCATGGTAAAAAAAAAAACACACAAGGTCTTTATAAAGTGTAAACAGAAGTGACACAATCAAGTCTATTTTTAAGATCACTCTGAGGGGTTGAGAATAAATTGGAAGGGAGACAGGAGTGGAAGTAGTAAAAACATTCCATATCAATCATTCCCAAATGACTGAGTTCCCATACATTTCTTTCCTCTCCCATTCCTACTTCATATCCCAGTCATTTAGCCCCCTCCCGCACCTTTGCACCAGATTTTACCAAACAACAACAAAGAATTGGGAAAAGGAAAATTGCAGCTTTTTTGACTCTGTGTACATTGGGTATTTTATTAGAAACTTTCATGTTACTGCTATGTAAACACAGCTTCTAAATAATACATAATTTAAAAACTTGTCAAGCAAGTTCTTCATCAGCTGTACTCCTAGAATTAAACACACATCACACACATACAAGTCACCAACCCCCACAAAATGTTTAATTTAACTGACCTTAAAATTTGGAGAAAAGTATCGGTTGGCTTTATCTTTATTTGCTTTGTCAAGATCATTTTTTGTTAAAGTAAGTACTAGATATTCCTTGTCATTATCTGCACGCTCTATACTGCAAATGCTATCAATTTCTTGATCACATAGACTTCCATTTTCTACTTTTTCTGAGGTTTCCTCTGGTCCTGGTATGAAGAATGTATTTACCCAAAAGTGAAACATTTTGTCCTAAAAAAAAAAAAAAAAAAAAGAAAAAGAAAAAGAAATGAAATGACATATTTTAATTAATGATGTTTTATTTTTTTAAAAAAGAAAATATGTCACCTGTGTTAAACATTTGCCAAAATGTCAACAAAATAAACTATCATCTGATATTTTGAATAAAGGTAAACACAAAGACTATTATAAGGCAATCTGAGTTATCTGTTGCATTTTCATTCACATGATTTTTCGGTACTCAAATTTTAAACCAAAAATACAATCTCACAAGATCTAAGATAAATTACTTTTGTCTTAAATTTTTAAGTAAAAAAACCTCTTTTCTAGTCTAATACTAGCTTTAAATATGTTTTTAGTTTATGTGTACATACATATAAAAACAAAATTCAGACATGGACTTAATTTCTTCTACTTTTCAAATGAGCTACCTATTCCAAGATTTACTTTAACAAAAGTTCTTAGAAGGAGAGTGCAACTTCCCTGATGACACACCACAAATACATGTTTACTTCTACAGCAATACAAACATGAGAAGCTCTACTTTCTTACATGACAATATAATGCTTGAATACTTTCAGAATAAATATGAGGGGATAGGGAAGAGTACTACTGATTTCTTTTGATGTTATAAAATGCTTGGTCTTAAAAAAATCACTTCTAATAAGATAATACTTTCTTAATAAAAAACCACAACAGAAGTTCATCACTTTAAACCTCTATTGACCAACACAGAAATCTGGCCTGCATAAATAATTTGGCAATTAATGATGTACAGCCTTGTGTCATCTTATTGGTACCTTAAAATGCCATTTAAATCTTTTATTCTAATTTATCTTAAAAGTTTTTTTTCCCCTAGAAAATAAGATCTTTAAGGATATTATGTCTTAAATTTTATTGCATCTTTTAGCAGTACCTGACAAAGTAACTTTGTTTACAAGTCTTTAAATTTTTTTTTTGCTTATTTCAATTATTTCAGCCAGTAACTGTATTTTACTTAGAATTAGAAGAAAATAAGCTAATAATATTTAAATAACAAAAAGGTGAATTCCATATATATATATGGATTATACTAAAACTTTTTGTCTGTTTTAATCACAGCATATTCTTAAATAAGGCAGGGAAAATTAATAAAATGGAAATTTGTGTAGTCAAGGATAAACAAGTAAATCATAAGTAATTAACCTTCAATTTTGCATATGTTAAAGTACAGATGAAGGGAAATAAGAATTAGTAAATTCCTAAAGGTATGCAGAGATGATGATGTAGGTGCCTATTTTTGAAAGCAAAATAAAAATTACTAGTTATCTTAATTTTAAAACAGTTGTTAATACTTCCTGGATTATCAAAAAATAATTTTTCAAAGTTATTGAGATATATTTAACTTTTACTTGTACAGATGATAGGAAATGGGTTTCTGGTTTAAAAAAAGATGTGCAGTACATTTTGATTTTTTTTTTTTCCAGCTACTTGGATTCTGGATAAAGGAAATTATATTTCTTCTGATACGTCAAAGCAGCATTTAAAATTGTGCAGTAAATGAAACTTCCTCTTATTTTCTTTCAAAAGAAAAGCTAAAAATCAGAACAACTAAATATATCCTATTATTGAGGATGTTTAAAGATTAGCAATATGCTATCTAGTATGTTTAACAAGGCAGCAACAATACAAATTTACTGCTTTTCTTCATTACTATCTAAAAATGTTGCACCTTAGTCTCACTTTAAATATATACATTTAATATTTTAAATGAAGACAGTTGGTTTTTTTTTTTCCTTTTTCTTTGAGACAGAGTTTCACTCTTGTTGCCCAGGCTGGAGTGCAACAGTGCATTCTTGGCTCATGCAACCTCCACCTCTTGGGTTCAAGCAATTCTCCTGCCTCAATCCTCCTGAGTAGCTGGGATAACAGGCACCTGCCACCATACCCAGCTAATTTTTTTGTATTTTTAGTAGAGACAGGGTTTTACCATGTTGACCAGGCTGGTCTCGAACACCTGACCTCAGGTGACCTGCCTGCCTCAGCCTCCCAAAGTGCTGGAATTACAGGCGTGAGCCACCGCGCTGGGCCAGTAGTTGGTTTTAAACTAAGTCGTTGCCTTCTCTAAATACAGGCCAATCAAATTCAAACTTGATTAACTTTCTAAACCTGCACATTTCAATACCATGCTTTCATTCTTTATTACTTCCTCTTCATACTGATTTCTCTCCTAGTTAAAAAACTAATCAGTAAATCCACAGAAGCTAAACAGAAAATAATCAAGTCTTAAGAAATATAAGGTCAGGCATGATGGCTCACTCCTATAATTCTAACACTTTGGGATGCCGAAGCATGAGGACTGCTTGTGCCCAGGAGTTTGAGACCAGACTGGGCAACACAGTGAGACCCTTTCCCTACAAAAAAAAAATAAAAATTAAAAAAATTAGCTGGGTGTGGTGGCACATGCTTGTAGTCTTAGCTACTCAGCCTGGGCAATAGAATGAGACCCTCTCTCTAACAAAAAGGAAAAAAAAAGGGGGGAAAGAAAAAGAAACGTAAGCCAAAATGAAGAAAAAGTGGTTTGTGTCACTATGTAAGACCACAGAACAGATCTCATTTCTACTATAGACCAAAATTTTTAAAATCTTGGTCCCATGCTAATTTCTTCTCAGTTAACCATCCTTGTTAAGGAAAATTCCTCTCATGTTCCAATGCTGTAAGGCCTTTTCCTTCAAATAGGATTATTTACCCTTATAGTGTCTCACCAATGCCAGAGTAAGCAAAACACCTGCATATCTAATAGAAAACAAATTATAGTTCCTTATATGTCATAAAATAAAATATAGCTTTTAATCTGTCCGTATTTTGGATATTTCTCCCAATAAAAGTAAAGTACAAACCTTTTTTAGCATCTTGTTCTGTTTGTGGAAGAACTCTACTTTGATATCACCACACACAGGTAACGGCTGAGGGAACTCAAAGTACATGAACTTGTCTTCCCGTCGTGTGGGGCCTGAATTGGAGGAATATATCTTCACCTTTAGCTGGCAGACCACAAACTGAGGATCTGCATGGTTAAATACATACTAGTATCATTTCACAGGAAATGCCTTTAACTGTCAAACTGTCAAAAGTGATTTTAATGATTAATATCAGCAATATTCACAAAATATGGATCCCGCATCTGCAATCTTGATCTAAAGCAAATCAATGGAAATAAATGAAATAGAAATAGAAAAAATGTAAGATTTTCTCCAGTTTGAACTTTCAAAATAAGGTCCTATTACTTGTATAAAAGTCAAGTTCTGTTTCCTGAATAGTAAGTCCCAAGATTAGACTTTTAGCGGCAGAATAACTTCAAAACTTTAACATTAAAATCATACTAAAAATCCTAATATAAATAAAAACTTTAAGCATTAAAAACGATGAAATAATTATCTGGTACATTTGTGAACAACATCAAAAAAACTTTTAAGACAGGTATCAACAGGCAGTGGTCAGGAAAAATTTTAAAACATAAAGAAGACAGGTATTTGCTATAGTATTCTGAAGTCTCTAGCATGTGGCAAAGATCACAAAATATAAATCATTACATGTTCACAAGAGAAAGAGGATAAAACCTATAACAATGTTATAATAAATTTCAAAAACACAAGTCTAAATATTTATTTAAAAAATTAACCATCATTCATTTTACCTATAGATCACATTTTAAAGATATATAATGCTACCATCATAAGAAACAGGAAACAAAAGATTTGAAATTTCTGTAAAGAAATGCAACAGAGTTCAAGTAAAAACTGCAGCACAACCTCCCTTTCCTCCAAAACATCTCATTTTCATTAACAAGTATTCTGGCTTTGGTTCATGTCTGTTTTAAATAACTGGTAAAAAATAAAGTAACTGGCCGGGCGCAGTGGCTTACGCCTGTAATCCCAGCACTTTGTGAGGCCGAGGCGGGCGGATCATGAGGTCAGGAGAGCGAAACGATCCTGGCTAACACGGTGAAATCCCATCTCTACTAAAAATGCAAAAAATTAGCCGGGCGTGGCGGCGGGCGCCTGTAGTCCCAGCTACTCGGGAGGCTGAGGCAGAAGAATGGAGTGAACCCGGGAGGCGGAGCTTGCAGTGAGCTGAGATGGTGCCACTGCACTCCAGCCTGGGCGACTGAGCAAGACTCTGTCTCAAAAAAATAAATAAATAAAAAAATAAAGTAACTGGTAAAATATAACTTCTCAAAATTCATCATGCTTTTACACTAGCAATTCAACCAAATGGTGGGAAAGTGTGTTAAGGGAAGGATTATATGTTTTATTTTTTAAATCTACTCATAAATTCATTTATAGCTAATGACCTTAATGACAGAAATTAAAGACATGAATGTTATGATCCCAGGACATCAAAAACTTAAAGTTACCTAAATAATTTGACGAAGTATATATAATTCATTTGTCATACGTTGAGGAATTAGAAAACAAAAGTCCATTACAAAGAAATTTATTAACCTTAGGAGGTTATGAAGTGCCATTTGAAGAAAACATGCAAAGATTACAGAGAAAGAGAAACACAAGCTTACATAAAGTTATGAGAAATATTATATTTAAATATATTTTATATTTATACTATGTATATATATATAACAAAAAATTTTCAGCACCAAAAGGTGTCATTATTCTAAAAGATAAACAAAAGTCTTACATTTTTATCAATGTCACTGAGAACAAGGCAAAAGCTAAACCAAGTTATACAAAATTTCCAGTTTAGTAAACACCTACTACTATTTCTATGTAATATTTAAAGCACTATCAGCAATCACATAATTAATATGTTTGATAAAAGCATGAAGGTTATTCTAACATGGTCTTCTAAGATACATTATTTGAAAAAGCTACCACAAACAGGAGAAATATTACACCAACAATCTATCAATAAATTTCACTTCCTTCCCTCAAAGTTCAAAGTGCAATGGGCCATTTCATAAGACTTTATGTGATACTGAAATTTCGCTGGGAAATCTAACTGAAGAAGCAAATAAACAAAGTAGGATTCCAAAGCTGTGATAAAATTAATCAGAATAAAATTGCAAAACTGCCTTGTAATCTTTTTTTTTTTTTTTTTTGAGACGGAGTCTTGCTCTGTCGCCCAGGCTGGAGTGCAGTGGCCAGATCTCAGCTCACTGCAAGCTCCGCCTCCCGGGTTTACGCCATTCTCCTGCCTCAGCCTCCCAAGTAGCCGAGACTACAGGCGCCTGCCACGTTTTCTGTATTTTTTAGTAGAGACGGGGTTTCACCATGTTAGCCAGGATGGTCTCGATCTCCTGACCTCGTGATCCGCCCGCCTCAGCCTCCCAAAGTGCTGAGAAATCTTTTTAAACTCCATTAATTCAGAATCTGATAACCCTGATTTTAGGACTTTCAAAAGCAAATTAATAGTACTTCCAGGTTTCAATTAAACTACATCCAAAATGTACATCTTCAAATATTTTAGTATTATATAAAAATTTATAAGTAGTAAAGATTTCCTCAATCACTAAAGAAAATAATCTTCTCTGCAATATGAATATCATGTTTCAGATAGATAAGACCTAACCAACCAGAAGTCCAATATTAGTATGGTTCTGTGGACTTCTACTATATATATATCCTCGTATATGACTGAATATGTTCCAAAAAATAAATAACAAGATCCAGACCTAGTGATATAGTCTGGATATCTTTCCCTCCCAAATCTGAGGTTGAATTGTAATCCCCAATGCTAGAGGTGGGGCCTGGTGGAAGGTGCTTGAATCATGGGGGCAGATCCCACATGAATGGCTTGGGCCATCCTCTTGGTGATAAGTGAGCTGACATTTAAAAGTGGGTGGCACCTTCTCCCCACCACTCCTTCTCTTTCTTGCTCCCATTCTCACCATGCTCCCCTTTTGCCTTCAGCCATGATTGGAGGCTTCTTGAGGCCTCCCCAGAAGCAGATACTGCTATGCTTTCTGTATAGCGTGCAGAACCATGAACCAATTAAAGAAGAATTTATAAAGAAAACAGGTTAAACCTGCTTAATACTCAGTCTCTAGTATTTCTTTATAGCAACGCAAAAACAACCTAATACACCTAGCAAATGAAAATCAGAATGCAGAGAATGGGAGATAGTGGAGACTTGAAAGGGAGAGGAGATAATGAGAAATTACTTAATGGGTACAATGTATATTATTTAGATGATGGACACCCTAAAAGCCCTGACTTGACCACTACACAATCTATACACGTAACAAAATTACACTTGTGTCCTTAAATTTATACAAGTAAAACAATTTTTTAAAGTCAGAATTAAAATTCCTTGGATATATACATATTGTTATAGTCTTGAAAGAAAACCACACTGATCATCTTTCAGTAACATTTTTAACCCTGTTAAATGTCTAGAGTATAGTAACTTTTTCTATCACTTGGAAATACTAAGACAAAAATCAAGTAAGAAAAAGCTGCAAATCCCTACAGAAGATGCTGTATTTTTCAGCACTACCTCTGTTTTCTTTATTGATTCCTCTTCTTCCTAAACCCAAGTTGCCATTCTTATCACAGTCCTCACCCTCTCCTTTTCTTCTTTTCCTCCGAGCCTTCCCATCCCCAAACTCCAGACCATATTTATATGAAAGGCTTCACTACTCTCCCTTTCCTGACGCTGACCAAAATATCGATATATCTCCTACCTAGATTCGAACCCATACTCCCAAGTACCCACTGAATATTGTCATGTGAGAAGCTCACTTCTACGAGATTTAAAACACGTTTAAAACCAAAATATCAACATTAATGTCTTCAAGTCTCAGATGCACTTTTCTTTCTTTCTGTGACTATTTCACCTGACTGGGATCAAAACTTTTACAAAATCTTTAGCTATAAATGGCAAATAAAAAATTAATGAAATCCCATTTGATTGTCTTAGCATACATGCATTAAGGCAAGTTTTATTACTGGTTTCTTTTCCACTATGTTTTACTCTTGCGATTATAACTTTGCATACAACTGTCCTTAAAAACATGGTTTAATCCTCAAGTGTTATCATGACATCTCAGTATTTATTAAATCAAGTCTGTTATCCCCATTCAGGATCCTCTAACAGTCAGTCATACGTTCCATACCTATTATCTGTCACTACATTCTTGTCCAGCTTTTTCCTTCTGCTGCACTTTAACTGAAGCTATTTCCCATTGCCTGTAATACTTCTTTCAGGAGTCTTTTTTTTTTTGATGCGGAGTCTTACTCTTATTGCCTTGGCTGGAGTGCAATGACGCAATCTCGGCTCACTGTAACTTCTGGCTTCAAGCGATTCTCCTGCCTCAGCCTTCCAAGTACCTGGGACTACAGGCATGCATCACCACGCCTGGCTAATTTTTGTATTTTTAGTAGAGTTGGGGTTTCACCATGTTGGCCAGGCTGGTCTTGAACTCCTGACCTCAGGTGACCTGTCCACCTCGGCCTTCCAAAGTGCTGGGATTACAGGTGTGAGCCACTGCGTCTGGCCACTTCTTTCAGTTTTAATGCCAATCTAAACTGTATGTTTTTTCCAATGTTCAATAAAGAGCTGGTGAACCTCCTTTAAGAAACTGTTTGAAAACCTTCAAGAGCTTTTCTGAATGTAGCATTTGTAACTGATACACAGAACCTCCCATTTATTTTATTTTATTTTTATTTATTTATTTCTAAGACAAAGTCTTGCTCCAATGCCCAGGATGGAGTGCAGCGGCATGATCTCGGCTCACTGCAACCTTGGACTCCCAGGTTCAAGTGATTCTCCTGCCTCAGTCTCCCGAGAAGCTGGGACTACAGGTGTGCGCCACCATGCCCAGCTAATTTTTGTGTTTTTAGTAGAGATAGGGTTTCACCTTGTTGCCCAGGCTGGTCTCAAACTCCTGAGATCAAGTGATCTGCCTGCCTCAGCCTCCCAAAGTGCTGTGGTTACAGGTGTGAGCCTTATGCCTAGCCCCACAACCTCCCACTTAATTACATAGCTAGTTTTATATTAAAGCTTTACTACAGTATTATATCATAGTACATAAGAGGAAACTAGAAAATTAGGAAAGATTACTAAAGTGAATGTTTTCTCTCCCTTAATATCTCCATGATACTTTATACCTTTCTCTTGGCTCTTACACTGACATCAATACTACAGGAAGAGCATGAGTTTTTCTTCCTTTTTCCTTCTCTATGAATCTGTTACATTCCTTTGTTAGTCACTTCCAACAGCCCAGTACCTTGCATTCAGCAGTTTTAAAAACTGTACTGAGATGTAAAGAGCATCAATGAGACTCTTTAGAAGCCTTTATTTAACATGCTATACTAATAAACTCCGGTCTTTGATAAAGTTATCTGTCTCTAAGAATACAGAACAGATCTGATGATGATGATCACACCTATCTGACAAACATCATCGGAGAAGTAGAATAGGATCAGGATGACTGAGGTAGACTTATAGAGATTAGGGTAAAAGGGAGAAATAAATTAGAGGCAGACATCAGTGATATAATCTGTACTTCATACTTATCCAGAAGTTTCAGATTTCAAAGTCTCTTCATTTTATTGACAAGCAAACTCAAAGAGAGGTAGATGATGTGCCCAGGGTTACACAATAGATTAATGACAGATCTAGGACGGGAATCCGGATCTAAATCCAGGTTTTCTCTAACACTCCACATACTTTGATTCCTATTCTTTACTAATCTTACTTCAGCTTGCTGCCATGTCTTATCACTTCTTCCTTTCCTTTTTATTGCTTTGTCACCATTATTGTCAATACCTAGTTTCCCTAAGATATTAAGGACTTGATCCCTGCCCTAAGACCAGCACATTGCTGAACTCCTCTGGTGGACCTCTGCTGGACCTCATGCTGGACCTCTGATGGGACAGGTTCTTCCATCATCTGGTCAGAATTGGGCTGTATTTGGTGTATAACACAGAATATTTCTTTCATAAATATAATTTGGCTTCGACTACATTAAAACCCATTGCTTTTGGCTTCTTTAGCCCAATGAGTTGAACAACAAAGCTAATTAATTTGTTCAAATGCTTCAGAAATATAGTCTCCTGCATAAATTTTAAATGTGGTAAATTTCTTTCTAAATTTTTATATAAACTTCTAGATATGGTAAGAAAACTGTTCCAATACATGGAAGGATGAGAATTCAGAGCACTTACTGCAAGTTCCGCCACTGAACATTGGAATAGTTTCAAACATCATCTTGTGAAACAACAGTGCCACTGGTCTATAATCCAGGTGATTCTTTAACAGGTAGCTATAATAATACACATAGCGCCTCTGACTGGGAATAGTTACTCCCTGGTGGACAGAAAAAAAAAAAGAGAAGCCAAATTCAAAAAAAATGTTCCATTATAGTTATTTCACTAAATTGCTATAGTAACTGGGTTGTAGCCATTGAAGAACATATGTACATTAGAAATTTGACCTTAAATGATTAATACTTAAATTCAGCTCAGTAATAAATAAGAGCAATATCAATACAAAGGATAATATAAGAATAACTCTTCTCCCTTGAAACAATTATCGTAACACCCCATTTATTCAAAGGTCACAACAGTGCTCTGACCCGTGAACCCCATAGGCAAAGGCCACTGCATATCCAAAATAAATGTCAAAGGCCTCTGCCCTACAGCTGTGCTCTTTACACCTAGGGCTCCCCACAAGGATTTATGGACTCCTTAAACACACAGTTCCTCACAAACTTGATTACCTACTTTCCAGGGCAAAGCGTATCAGAATCAGCAAACTAGACAGAGGCATATTGCCTTTAAGAGGCAGAAATAGCAGCAGCAAAAACTGATGCTGGCATTAGAGTCCAACAAAAACAGGAGTATGCAGATGATGTAAATGTGTGCAACAATCTTCTAACAGAAGTAAAGCTATCCCTGTACTACATGCATCTATTTGCTGAAGAAACCAGGGGAAAATGAAGGATTTTAGAAAATGTAAGTATTACAAATGATTAAAATGCATGTAGTTCTCAAGAGTTCATTAAATAATAAAACATAAACAAAATATATATAATATATGTGGCATTTAATAGGGGAAGCTGAGTTATCTAAAGAGAAAAATCTAATATGTACAATAATGCATTCACTAACGATGATGAATAAATGAGGTATTTAAGGGTTTATTAGACATGTGACTTAAGAAAAATCCAACCTAGAAATATAAGACAAACAATAAGCAACATTAAGAAGTTTAACAGTTAAAAGTAACTTACAGAAAACTGTAATTTAAATGAAAGTATACTCAAGAGGAAAAAGAATTTGCAATTATTTCTCTTTAAATTACTACTGGCATCTGCATCTCCCCAGTGTCTTAAAAATTCTGGACACAAATAACCTTATTCTCCCTAATGAAAAATATAAAACTTATTTATGTGAATTTAAAAACAGGCCGGGCACAGTGGCTCACAACCTGTAATCTCAGCACTTTGGGAGGCCAAGGCAGGCTGAATCACTTGAGGTCAGGAGTTCGAGACCAGCCTGGCCAACATGGTGAAACCCCGTCTCTACCAAAAATACAAAAAATTAGCTGGGCGTGTTGGTGTGTACCTGTAGTCCCAGCTACTTGGGAGGTTGAGGCAGGACAATCACTTGAGCCTGGGAGACAGAGGTTGCAATGAGCTGAGATCGCGCCACTGCACTCCAGCCTGGACAACAGAGACAGACTGTCTCAAAAAACAAACAAACAAACAAAAAACCAGGTATGATAAATAGCAAGTATGTAGGTATCCATTGTAGTACTCCTAATATTTTTTCAAAGATGCGCATGATTTTATTATAGACAATTTAAAAATATGTGTGTATGTGTATAAATGTCAAAAAAACAGGTATAAACCATTTCTAATCCTGACAAGTGATTTAAGATTTTGGCCACAGTATAAAGACCACAATTTTATAAATAAAAGACTTGTATTTAAATGCTGACAGTCAAAATACAAACTCTGACGTGTTTTCGAAGGAAAATCAGGACAATAATATGTACCCTTCCTTCTTAACAGGGTTCTCATGAGGATCAAACACCAGATGCAGTTACACAAAAGCATGCTAAAACTACAAAATAGTATACGGTTTTAGCAATTCTCTACCTGTACTTAAGGTACAGTTTTTGAATAGCTGGAGTTTTATTTCTATATGATTTTCTTAACAAAATAGTAAAAGGTAAGGGAAAATAGTAGTACTTTGAAGAGCAGTACTACTACTCTTCATTAAAACATTAAAAATTATTAAAGCTAAAAAATGTAAACTTACAATGACTTATTACATCACATTCAATGTAATTTCAGCAAACAACTGTCATTCATGTTTAGCAGGATAAATATAGAATTGCTAAGTAGGTTAGCTAAAGGAAATATCACATGGAAGATGAGTGGGAGGGGAACTTTTTTGAATCATGTGAATTTTTTAACCATATGCATTTATAATCTAGTCAAAATATGCAATAAAATTTTTTTAAAAAATTAAGTCAATGCAAGTCTACCAGGAGACCACATTGTCGACATTATTTGTTGGGGTTTAGTGGATGACATTTTTCTCTTTATCTCCATTTTTGGCATAAGTCTGTGTGTAATAATAAAAAGATTTCAAAGCTTTAGGTTTTTTCAAGTAGCAAGTGATTAGCAGTGTACCTATAATGTAGGTGTTTATACATTCTGTTAATCCTTACCCAAAAAAGGATAGGCAAACATAAAAAATATGTAAATCTACTAGTTGTCAACATTGGGTGAATAATTTATGTATGAATACCAGTTGAAACAAAATTACTGACAATTCAAAGAAAACCATGGAAAAGTACATTTTAAAATTTAATCGATTAGTTTACCATCAAAATTATAGTCTATTTTCTTAACTTTGCAATTATTATCTACCTGCTGCCTTGTCAGCACCCGAAATTCAACATTTCTAGATTAACAAATATCAAAAAGTTGGGAGGCTCACATGTATCTGTTTCAGAGTCTCCAATGTGACCTCCTCATTCTAGTCCTATCCCTCTGAGCCATGATGCACACTCACTAAAATTGAATTAACACCTGTAATATAGGATTTCAAATGAGTGGAAAGTCCACACTAAATTAAAATTTTACTCATCTTTAAAAGCTTATACATATGAATAAAAGGCTATAAAGCTCTTGCAGATTAAAAAATACTCTGTGTTTTCAAATTTTTCTTTTTTTTTTTTGAGACGGAGTCTCACTCTGTCACCCACTCTGAAGTGCAGCGGTGCGATCTCAGCCCACTGCAACCTTGCCTCCCGGGTTCCAGCAATTCTCCTGCCTCAGTCTCCCAAGTAGCTAGGATTGCAGGCATGTGCCACTGCGCCTGGCTAGCTTTTGTATTTTCAGTAGAGACGGGTTTCACCATGTTGTCCAGGCTGTCTTGAACTCCTGACCTCAAGTGATCTGCTCACCTCAGTCTCCCAAAGTTATGTGATTACAGGCATGAGCCACTGTGCCTGGCCTAACATTTTGCATTTTTCATGTAAATTAAGGCTAATAAAGACCAGTTTTATCTCTAACCAAGAAGTTTTAAGTTAAATTGATCTGTAACCACACACACACACACACACACACACACATTTCAAGGGTACAGTTCTACTTTCTACTAGTAGTAACTCTCCTTTTCCACTTTAATTATGAAGAAAATTATTTACACAGCTGACCCTTGAAGACAGGTTTGAAATGTGTGGGTCCACTTATATATATGGATTTTTTTTCAATAACATTTTTCAGAGATTTCAACAATTTGAAAAAACCTGCAGATGAAACACATAGCCTGGAAATATCAAAAAGTTTAGAAAAAGTTAGATTTATGTCATGAACACATAAAATATATGTAGATTATTAGTCTGTTTTATCATTTACTGACATAAAATATACACAAACCTATTATAAAAAGTTAAAATTCATCAAAACATATGCACACAAACCTTAAGACCAGACATAATACCACTTGTAGTCAAGATAATAAACAAATGCAAAGATGCAGCATTAAATCATAGTTACGTAATATTAACTGTAGTACATACTATACTACTGTTAAAATCTCATAGCTAACTTCTGTTGCTACTGCAGTGAGCTCAAGGGTTGCAAGAATCTATTTAAAACACCATGTGACACTAATCATCTCTGTATGATCAGCTCATCTCTCCAGTAAATTGTGTATTGCAATCAAAAGCTATCTCTCACTCTCTCACGGTTCTTGTGTATTTTTTTTTCTTTTTCTTTTTTTTTTTTTTTTTGAGACACAGTCTTGCTCTATCACCCAGGCTGGAGTGCAGTGGCACGATCTTGGCTTACTGCAGCCTCTGCCTTCTGGGATCAAGTGATTCTCCTGCCTCAGCCTCCCTATTAGCTGGGATTACAGGCGCATGCCACCATGCCTGGCTAATTTTTTGTATTTTTAATACAGACAGGGTTTCACCATGTTAGCCAGGATGGTCTCAATCTCCTGACCTCGTGATCTCATGATCCGCCCGCTTCGGCCTCCCAAAGTGCTGGGATTACAGGCGTGAGCCACCGCGCCCAGCCCTCTTGTGTATTTTTCATTGTGCTTAATGCAATGCTGTAAACCTTAACACCATGAGACCTGTATGAAGTGCCAATAGTGATAATGGAAGTGCTTTCAAGAAGTGGAGAAAAGTCATGGATGTTATAAGAATAAGGTAACTTGCTTGATATGTACAGTAGATACGTACAGCTATAGCTGCTGGCCATTTCAGATGCTTCATCTTGTAAACCGACAACATAAATGTATAGTACCAATAAATACAGTACTGTAAATGTATTTTCTCTTCCTTATGATTTTCTTGATACACGTTCTTTTCTCTAGTTTACTTTATTGTAAGAATATACTATATAATACATATGCAAAATATGTGTTATTGACTGTTTATGTTATGGGTAGGGCTTCTGGTCAACAGTGGGCTACATTATCGAACGGTCAACTGTATCCTTAACCTTTTTTCCTCAAATACAACTTTCAACACATTCTAACTTTAGCCAAACAACTTTAGCTAAAGAACTTTAGCCAAACAACTTTAGCTAAACAACTTTAGCCAAACAACTTTAGCTAAACAACTTTAGCCATTACTCTTTCAACTCCTTTATGTTCACAGACCAGGAGGTAGACCTCAGAAGTATATTTAGTGTTCCTTCTAATATTCTTTCCAGCCCCCATTCCTACAGCTTTGCCTATTTCAAACTCATATCACTCAATAACTCTTCTGGTATACACTTACTAAACTCTTGACCACAATGATTTTAGTACTTTGTTCTCCCAACCTCTCTTTTTATC